TCACTTTCCCTCTGTTGTCTGTTGCAACAGAAATAGGTAATATTTCATTTCCATGACAAAGTAGAATATTTGGGCAGCTATAGTACAGATGAAACGTGGCTCCTACACTACAGCATCRTGCTTAATGAAACAGTGAATATGTTACTGTTGTTGACTTAAGCATAGAAACCCAGGTATTCTCATTTCTAGATCACGCTAACTTCCTGTTTGGTAGATAAATATTTCTATGTATGCTTCCAAAGTCAGAGGTTAAGTTAGAGTTTTTCAACCCTTTTGAAAAAGGTGAAGATAAGGTGAAATGGCCGCTTAAAACAGCAAGTAATTAATTGAGTCTCTCTGTTAACAGGAAGAAGGTCAAGTGCACATAACTATTGTGATTACACAGTCTGCATTACAAGCAGCTGAGTCATTTAACCAGAAAGTGGTTAGATTGGAAGGCTGAGAAACAATTAAATGTGATTTTACTTCAAACTAGTAGCTATACTTCCAAGTTACTATAGTATTTTAAGAGTCACTTGTCATGTTGTTTTGCAGTATTAATTAGTTTTATTGCTGTGAAACATTTTATTTAGTTTTCAATTGTCTTATTTTTTTCCCTTGCTTTGCTTTAGCTAAGTGGCTGTAATTTAAAAATGGTAATTTCTAATGAAGATGTATTTTCTTTTTTTATTTTTTTTTTTACTTTGTCTTGTATATAATTCTGAAAGCTTTTCACATACATAGTTTTAATTGCTGGATCCAAAGTGTGGAAAGGATTTCTTCATTTTGTTATTATACATCTAGTTTATACTGGGGAGAATCCATGAGTATCTGCTGATGGAGATCAAATAACTTGTGATAACCTTCCGACACGTATAGGCCATAGTGCCAAGTGCCACGTCCACTTGTTTCTTGAACACTTCTAAGAGAAGTGCAGAGCTTGGGAGAGCTGTTTACTTGTTCTAATTATTGCATGGCTGCATGACAAAGTTTATGACTCCTTTTCTGAGGCTTCATGCAGGTGTTGTATTGTTATTTTTGTTTAGAGTTTGCTCAGAACTCACCAAGAAATTTCAAGGAAGCATGACTGTAGGTTATACACGAACAGTTTAAAATGTAAGAAAAATAAAACAMTACCTTTCCAGCAGTGCATGCTTGGCATCTATAATTATTTTAGAACACTACTTTCAGTAAAAGCAAAATGGGTTTTTGTCAGTAAATGATTTTGCTTTTTAACAGAGGTTTGACTAAGAAATAATGTAGTATGGTGTTAGAATTACAAGATGTTACTAGAAGCAGTTTTCCTCATTTTTAATTATAACTTTGTACATATTTTGCACTGGAGATGCTGAACAAATCAAGCATCACCAGAACTTATGCCTAACCACTTGGTGCAACTGCTGTCTTTAAGTACTTATTTTGTAAATTGTGGGAGAAAAATGGTGAATATACAAAATGGATCACTACACCAGCATTTATTAAGACTTGGGCCTGCTTCCTCAAATTCAGCCCAAAGGAAATCAAGGTGTTGACGAATTTTTTTTGATGCTCTCATTATCTGCTAACATTSTCAACATTACATATAACTTCTGCATAATATTTGTGTTTGAAAAAATTGCTAATCTAATCTATTTCACTTCCTCTAAAGGTATAGCACAGTTTTAGGTCAGAAAGGAGTTCAAGCATTGATACAGACGGGCAAGCATGGACTCAAAAAGTTTTTGTAGTGTAGAATACCGTTTGGAAGAGGATGAAAAACAAAGAAAATGTAAATGACTTCATGACCTGTAATAAATTTGCATCATTTAAAACAAAGAGAAGGGCCTTAGAAATGTCTTATCTGAGCAAAATCTTCAATTGGTTTATTTCTTATTCTATTCATGGAATCTAAAATACGCTTAAAGGTGTTAATTAAGGAATAGGTTTTGTCAAGCAAAGCTGGTATGTTTTATCAGYAAAATTACAAAACAACTAGATAAATACAATTTCAATAGATAGATATAGATATTTGTTATCTTCAAGAATTCTTTTTAATGCCACATAATACTTTGATCAAGAAATTTGCCTTTTAGGGAGTTAATGTGGTACATTAGACAGGTTATAAACAGGTTCTGTTCAGCTGTGAAGGTGTAGATATGGTTGGAGGCACATCTGTGAGCAGTGATAGTTCCTGCAGATTGCTATGTCAGTCAAAGGTAGGTACTGGTTTTSTGAATTGTCTTCATAATCATTGGCCAAGTGTGCAAGTGATGCCAGGACAGACAGGATAGACCTCACAATGTGATATCAATCACATGGCTGGTGTTCAAAAATATGTGAATACAGAATGTGAAGTGCAAGTAGTGACCTAAACTTTATTGTTTAATTGTTTTAGCAAGCAGTTTACTCAGAGAGATTTTTTTGTTACTTTTGGTATCTTTTCAACATCATCTCCTAGGATGAAAAGGATGAGTTTTTACCTGCTTGTACAAAAAGAAATGGAATGCTCAGAAACAGGAAAAAGATTCTTGGACTGTACCAGCAAATAAGGCCATGTTGCTCTGCTTAACAATCAATTAAATGTAGTAATAAGCCAAGCTGAATAAAACTAGGCTCCCATGTGTGCTAAGAAGAAAATGGAAATGTTGGAGGAATTTGAAAAATGGTGATGAAAAGTGGTCCCAGGACTGGAAAACTGTGTGCTAAGAAGTTTAGGGAATTCTGGCTGATGAATCCAAGAGAAATTTAATAACTGTTGTGCCCAAATCTTTCTTCATGAAGAAGAAATAAGATGTTGGGTGGTTTTCTGCCTTGGAGGAGAAGGCATGAAATTGAAATTGAAGTAGGATAAATTCAATTTTGAATGCAGATGCAGTTTCCTAATAGCAAGGATAATTAAACTGTGGAGTAATTTCTCTGGATGTTAGTCTCATTGCAACTCAGAATGTTGAGACATGATATCATAACATTCTTTAAAAATGCTTTATAATAGAATTAAATACTGCCTGAAAAACACAGAAAAAAAAAATTGTGGTCTACAGCAGATAAATAAGGTGATCAGTATGGTTTCTTCTAGCATTAGAGCTAGCACCAGTGACAAAATATTTTGTGTTTTAAGATATTAGCATCCTGATTCTTCATGCACTTGAATAAACCTAAAGGCTGTAGAAGTGAAAAAGCATTGTTGTGTTAAGGTGCTTCTGGTGATTATCTGATTTTACTGACCACTCAAGGCAGGTTAGACTCCGAAGTTTGGTCAGGCTGCCAAGAAAGCTGTGTCCCACTGAGCTCTGAGTACCTCTGTGATTCCCAGCCCCTAAGGGCAACCTGCACCACTGGAGTTTCCCTTGCTGGAGCTCATGTTGTTTGCTAATCTCATTTGCTCTTTACCTTTCCAAAAATTCTGAATTCCTAATCAGCAATTAGAGAGATGGCAATAGCAATTTATCCAAACTCAAGGATCAGCATCAGAAAGTGCTGGGGTTATTCCCTATATTGAAGTCATATGGTTAAATCATTGATTAATTCCTCCCAAGATTGTTATTTAAAATATTATGAAACTATGTCTTCCTTAAGAAGGTACATAAAATAAAAGGCTGAACTGGAATATACAGCTATTCATGTGAAACTTATGCTAAATAAAATATTACTCTAATTTATGTAATGATTGGAAAATTCTAGACTGGGGAATCAAAGCATGGTCTTTATTCATGTTCATTGCCCCACACCGCTTGTTGAAAATAAGGTTTCCAGRCTTGGTAAACTGTAAAGGGAACCTACTTGATATTCTGAAGTTCAAAATTAGGTTTCTTGAATTTTATTGCATTATATTGAAAGATAAATTTATTTCACACACAAGAAAAAAACCCCAAACCTCAARCCAATTTTAAAATATTTTGAATACTTTTTTTTGGCATAATATTTTTTTAAAATAGTTTGAACCCATTTTTCTTTTTAACTTTTGGAACTGGAAAGGAACCTCAAATGCCTTTAGTCATGCAGCAGTGTGGGCAAGATTTATCTCAGCTTTGCTTTTTAAAGAAGTGTAATCTTGACTTGCTACCATTTGACCAGAGATGAGCTTAGAGATGATTTTAGCCACGAAAACTGTAATATACACCTCTGCCAATTGCATGTCTAGCAGATTGTACTTGAAGTCTTAATAGGGAGAACCCAAGCATCAATAGGAAATAAAAACAGTTTGTTCCTTCCCTGACTTTTCTGTGTACAAGCAGCAGATAAAAATAATTTTTTTTTAATAACCTGGAGATATCCTACTAAGTTAGCATAGTTAAATAATTAAAAGTGTAGAGTGAAAAAAAAGTATAAAGAAATGAAAGAAAATTTATAGTGCATATATGTCTGCATTAGCCTGTCAAAACTACAGTAGAGTAACACTTTAAATAGTCTATCTATTAATAGGCATCCAGGAAGTTGAAATATTCAGGCTGGACATGCAAGTTCATCTTTGCTTTCTCATATTATTATGTAATATAAGGTCAGAATCGACTCAATAAGAGATACTTATGGGAAAATAAGTGAACACATAATAATGCATTCAGAAGCTGACAATTTCAGAAAATKTTGCAACTTTTTTTTAACTTCCACAATTCCCTGGGCAAGCTTTACCTAAATTAGTGATAGACATTACTATAACATGGAAAGACTTTTTCTCCCCAAAGTGATTGAATGAAATGAATGTTTAACACAATATGATGAGGAATTCAGGTTTTAATACATTAATCTATTTGCAAAGGTGCCCTCCTCATTGGTAGTGGGATGCTTTACTTGTGACGTTGTGGGGTGTATTTTTCATGATAAAAGGTTTATTGGTTGTTGTGGTGTTTGTAAGCAGATCATGATCTGCTCTTCAATGATGGTTTGCAGAGACAACGATGGCAGTAACTCACCATGGAACATAAYGACTGATGCTAAATCAAGGAGAAATGGAATCTTCTAATGACTTGCTGAGTGTCTATTTCTTTAATTTTCTTTAAACAATGGGAACTTTACTGATTGTGTAATCTTATTCTCTGTCTCAGGTCTCCTAGAAATCCTGAACAGAAGATCATTAAACGAGTGATTGCCCTTGAAGGAGACATTATCAAGTAAGTATTTTAAGCTTTAGTCTCAGAGTCTTTATAGGAATTGTGCAGCTTTTTAGTATATTTTAAATCAGTATCCTAGACAACGAGTACTTTCTAGCATTTTCTTTCTATTATTAACAAGGATGTCAGCATTGTACCTGTCTCTCTTTTAATGACAGGAGAAATGCTACACAAAGCTACTCACTCTCTGGTGAAATGCRCATGGGTACAAATAATGCTTGTTTCTGAGAATATCTCTGCCACAAATCAAGGCAGATAATTGTACAGCAGTTTTCAATGAGATTATAGGGCTGTGATCTTTCATTTAGAAACTCCAGTTGCTGTTTCATACTGGGGTGGGCAAGTAAAAGTAGGTTGTTTTTTAGGTTTCTATTTATTTATTTATTTCAGAATTTTATAGTTTATATTTTATTTAATTTTAATTTATTTTTGAGGCAAAGAACCCTTATAGATTACTGTCTTCACTGCAGTGTGTTGTCATCTGTAGGGAATATGGTGGAACTGATTTTGAGTAATTTATTCTATCAGAAAAAGAAAAAAAAACATTGAAGCAAGAGTAGACTCTAGAGTACTTCAAGACTTGGTTTACTCTGGCAGATAAACCTTCCTACTGGGGCTGGGTGGAAATAAATTGCCAGTAGATGTAAATAAAAAGTTTTTTTGAGAACAGTATTATTTTGAAGGAAATGCTTGGTCGAAAAGGTTTCTTTTTCCCTGGTACTTAATCAAATAGAAATAGAGCTGGGAGGGTAAATCCCTATTTTCCTACCTAAGATGTGAATAATCCTGGGAGATCTCAGACAATATGGCAGACTGTGACTCAATTCATTTAGATAATGATTCTTGCTTTGGTGTAGTGAATACTTAAGAAGTACTTGACAGCTGCAATTCAAATCAAGGATTTGAGTTTGATCTCAGTGGTCCATAGTTACATGGGCACTGTGGAATATGCCTATGCATTTTTTCCCTCTTGCAGTCAATAAAATTTCGGYTTTATTGAAAAATTCTGAATCATCTCAATTTGAGAAATCAAAATAAACTGTTGCCTCTATGTTGACACAAAATATCTTAAATAACAGGCAGAAAGAAGATAATTTGTTGTCCAAAAACAATAGACATCCACAGCTAAAACTAACCATCACTTTCAAGCACTAAAGACACAGGAGTAGTGTGTACACTGTCTTTTATTGGCCTGTGCCTTAAGAAGGTGGTTATTTCTTGCTGCAGTTGATGTTATTGCTGTAATTCATAGACGTGATGAKAATGTTATTCCTGTTTCAGTATTCCTCATTCATTTCTGTGGCAGTATCAGAAAGAGATTGCAMTATAAGGTAACTTCAAGGGTTACTTTACATTGTTCTATATTATTAACATATTTGCCTTAATTTTTGAAACTAAGTGTAGATTTTTGATAGAAAAAAAGGACATTTAATAACATAAATTCTAGCTTTAGGAAATTAAGTATTCTCTACATTCRAATTCCCTAAGACTTGGAATATTCATTAACATTTGTGGCCACTCTTGGCCAAATGGACAAAAGTGTGTTGGGCAAGTGTGTTCGGAATGGTCATTGAATCAGTCATGGACACAGAAGGCTGTACAACAATCCTCATTTGTCTGTGGCATGCCTGGTTAGATTACTTTATTGATAGAAATACCAATCTCAATAATTCAGACATGCTTTTTTTTTTTTTTTTTWWTTYMA